GGGGGGGGGGGGGGGGGCTAAGTCAACTGAGGGGCAAAAACGTCATTATGCCCCTCCAGCCCTAATAGGGGTCCAAAGAGAACCCTGTCACAACCCCTGCAAAAGAAAAATAGAGTTAGAGAGAAATTTGAGAGGAGTCAGTCGTGAAGTTTAACGGACCATCGTCGGAATCCACCTTCAGATGAGGCTTGTACAAGGATTGAGAGGTTATCGAGGCCGACGCTCCGTCAAGACCCAAGAACATTTTGCGAGGTAAGGGTCTGATCGACATTTCTCAAATTTGAGTTTTTCCTATGTGAATCGAGTCCTAAAATGCTGAAATATTCACCTAGGAACAACTCTACGCACGATCTGTGAAGAAGTTTGGCCAAGACCTCAACCCGAAGGCGGAGATCCGAGAATCATCCGAGAACGGTGAGCGAAATTTTGACGCTCTTAACTCGTCCAGTAGTGAAGCAAAAATTACAAAAAAAATACTAGGACGTAGCCCATAACACGCTATAGAACTTTGCCGAAGAAATCATATCCATCCGATCTACGGATCGAAAGATATGAAAATCAGAAAAGGGGACTGTGTTACGGATTTCAGAGGACATTGAAGCAAAAAGAAAAAAAAAAAGAGGTCGGCCGGCGACCGGCAAAGGGCGGCGTGACAGGCACCGGACACGCGTCGACCGTCGGTTGCAGCTCCAATGAGGTGACGACATGTGTCGCCTGCAAAGTCGAGCCAAATCGCAAACGCGAGCTGAGCCGAGCCGAACCGGACCAGCCGACCCGTGACTGCACAGGAGCTGCCGCACGTGGTAGGCGCGCGTGCGGCCTGCGACTGGCGCACGTCCACGCGCGTGGTCAGTGTACTGCTGGCGCGTGAAGCAGCCGTTTTGGCTTGATTGCCCTCTGTGTGCCCAATTTCTTTCCCAGTTCCAGTTCTAATACTGTTTTTACGTGAATAGGAACCTAATATAAAGAAATCAGTATTTTTGGACACCTCACTGGCAAAGAAACGCTAGCAGAAAGGCACGCTTCGACAAGATAAGTCACCACCTAGTATTTAGGAAGAAATACTTATAGGATTCGCTTGGATTGCATGCATGGTAGTAATTTTTTTCAGATTAGCTCTCTATGTAAAATATTAGCCAGATTGATTGCTATGAGTGTATTGGGGTGAATTATCTGAGTGTTGCTTGTATGCTTTAAGCTTCCGCCGTATGTATGCATGCGTTTAATTTATGTTGGAATTGTGTATGCCGTGTTCCGAGTGCTTGATGGACGAATTCACCCCATTGAGCGCAAACTTCGTGCTCTGGGTGCTTGATGGAGGTCATCGCCCCGTTGAGCCAGTATGACTAGTTTGCATGAATTACATATTATGATGTTAGAAGATGGTTGCATGCAAACTCTGTTAATTCCTAGGGCCGATTTCTATGATAAGCTTAGGGGATTACTGTTAGGAGCGATATGTCGCTCTAGCCAGACGTAATTTTTCCTTAGGAACTTAATGGTATACCATGGCAACAAGGTACCCCAGGAGTGTTCATAGATTGCTAGCGTGAGAACGATATCTATAGCTTCGTGGGAGGACCAAGGGTTCCTGTTCAGTCCTTACTGCTCTTAGCCATTTCGTATGGGAAATGTGTCCCCATGTCGTACAGCCCATTAGCTGCATGGGAACGGGTTGGGTCGCCCCCCCCTCCCCCCTAGGGGGACTATATGGGCGTAGGGGTATTCAGCACACCCCTAGGCTAGATACCATGTAGTTCTAGATAGCCATGTAGAGGTAGCACCTCATAGAGAGGTACCAACCATATTAGCTTGGCGTAGGGAACCTCCAGGCGTTTAATGAAAGGACGACGAACCGGTGAAACCCAAGGGACAAGCTCCAAGGGACTAAGATTAGAACCATATGTCCTAGAACCGAATTAGGAAATCGTGGGGACCTGTTAAATTAAGATGCAAAGAGAGCCTACAAGTAGGTAGCTTACTGAGTATAATTTTTATACTCATCCTTGCTATGTTTTCCTTTTTTTCAGGAGCGCGTGGTGTCGGTCAAGGGCTGGCATGATGGAGATGGGGATTGTCACAAAGGAACGGGTTGCCCCAGGGCGTCAGTCCATTCTTTATTTTGTGTTTTCATACTTTCGAAATTTATTTTCAAACCGTCATGTGTTTTGTTGTTTGACGCCCAAAAACTTTATTGGAATTTTAGGATTTTCTTTATTTCATATTTAAATCACTTGTGAATTTATGTCTTGTCATTAGTCACGGTCCGTAGTAAAATATTGGGTCGTGACAAATTTGGTATTAGAGCCAGGTTATAGGTCCTGTAGACATTTAGGATAAAGAGTCATGTCCTTTGTGACCTCGCTCGTCAAACACATGCCGCTCACGACTAGACGTTCTCACGCGACGGAAACATAGAGACAAAGGTTAAGCTAGTATTTATAGAGTATACCATGATCGACTATGGCATTATAGTCGCACATTACCTAGGAGATGTGCTAAGAATGAATTGTAACCATAGTTTCTTTTTCTATTGTGGTAGATAACGGCATCAAAGAGACGTGAACCATATGTAGGGCCGGGACCTAGAAGGGGAAGAAGAGGGGAAGTTCAGGACACCTCAGTTCCAACACCTGAAGAGGAACAACCTGAATTTCAGGTGGAGGTTGGGGATACGCCCCAAACTAGCGAGGGGACAGTACCACAGCCATTAAGAACAAAAAGACGCCGAAGGAAGGCTAAGGCCCGAAGGCTGCTTGATACACCCCCTACTGCTCCCTTCTCCGAGGAGGTCCCATCGGGTCCAACCCCGTGTACAGCAGTCCCGCTAAACCAGCTGTTAGCCATGCCCACAGCAGAGATGGTTCAGACGTTCATGATGACCTCGATAGAAAATGAGGCTCTAACGAACTAGATGATACAAACCATGATGGCTAATCATTCAACAGGGCAAGGGGGCAAGGATGCAGGGACTATGACTGTGAAGTTCCACTACTTAAGAGATTTCCTGAGGCATAAACCACCTTCCTTTGATGGAGGCAAGGTGGATCCCATTGCCGCTGAGAACTGGCTAGAGGTCATAGAAACGACCTTCCATTTTATGAACTGCCAGAACTGGAAGGGTGCTCAGAAGACCATTATACCACAAGGAGAGTTAATTATATGGTGTCAGTTTAAAGATGCGTACCTCCACAAATACTATTCAATCACTGCCAGAGTGAAAATGCAGACGCATTCCTCGCATTGAAATAGGGAGACAGATCAGTGGAGGAATATGACTTGGAGTTCAATAGGCTGGCGAGGTTTTCTCCAGCCTATGTTAGTTTCGAGGAGTTGAAGGGTGAACGATTCATCGTTGGCCTGAGGGAGGAACTAAGGGGGAATGTGGCATCCCAGTCATCCTTCATTTATGCGAAAGCCCTTCAAGTGGCGACCTTGCTCGACGCATCCTGCACCGACAAGCTGCAGTTGGGAATAGCACAATCATCCCACATTGCAGTCTAGGGAAAGGTGACAAACTCTAGCCACCTCAGAACTGGTAGACCGCCCCGTGGCCGCACTGATAAACGAAGAAAGACCCTGGTACGGAACATGACCCTTTGTCCTAACTGTCGGCGCCCTCACACGGGGGAATGCAGAGCAGGAACTGGCGCCTGCTACAGATGCAGCCAGGTAGGGCACTTTGCTGTGGATTGCCCTCAGAGGAACAATCAGCATGTTAATTGGCCTGCAGTACAACATCAGAGGGGCCAAGCTGCTCAACATAAGCAGGGGCAAGCTGTAGCCCATGCAACAACAACCAGGCAAGCTGACCAGCCTGACGCAGTTGTCACAGGTACGCTACCCGTATTTGGCTATCTTGCATTAGTATTGTTTGATTCGGGTTCGACGCATTCATTCATATCTGAGCAGTTTGTAGAGCTAGCACACCTAGAGAAAGAACTTTAAGAGATTACCCTATTAGTGTCCACCCCTGCTCATGAACTGTTGCTAGCTACCCATAGGGTTAAGGGAGGTGGTGTAACAATATCAGGGCGTGTCATCGAAGCTACACTGATAGTGTTAAGCATACAAGACTTCGATGTCATCTTGGGTATGGATTGGCTCGGCGAGAATCGTGTTTTGATAGATTGCGAGACTTGAATAGTGACTCTCAGGCTCCCGTCAGGGGACAACTTTACGTACAAGGGAGCCACTTCCAAAGGTGCCCCAAGCGTCATAACATCGCTAAGGGCTAAGAAGCTGATTCGTAGTGGCGTAAGTGCATTTCTAGCCAGGTGACCTTAGACAATAGCAACAAACAAATAACCTCATCGGTACCCATCGTCAGGGAGTTTGTAGATGTCTTTCCGGAGGATCTGTCAGGTTTGCCCCAGCCAGGGAAGTCGATTTTGGGATCGATTTAGAATCAGAAACTGTGCCGATCTCCAAGGCACCTTACAGGATGGCACCTGCAGAACTTAGGAAATTGAAGGAACAGTTACAGGAGCTGTTGGATAAGAGTTTCATCCTACCCAGTGTATCACCCTAGGGAGACCCTATTCTGTTTGTCAAGAAGAAGGACAGGTCCATTCGGTTGTGTATTGATTATAGGGAATTAAACAAGGTCACTATAAAGAATAAGTACCCTCTCCCGAGAATTGACGATCTGTTTGATCAGCTACAGGGAGCAACAGTCTTCTCCAAAATTGACCTAAGGTCGGGGTATCATTAGTTAAGGGTTAGAGAAGGGGATATACCAAAGACAGCTTTTAGAAGTCGTTATGGACATTACGAGTTTCTCGTTATGAACATTACGAGTTTCTCGTTATGAACATTACGAGTTTCTCGTTATGTCCTTTGGCGTTACCAATGGGCCAACAGTTTTCATGGAACTAATGAACAGGGTGTTTCAGGAATTCTTAGACACCTTTGTCATAGTGTTCATCGACAACATTCTAGTATACTCTAAGTCAGAGGCAGATCATGAAGAACACTTAAGAAAAGTCTTGACAATACTGAGAGCCCAGCAGTTGTATGCCAAGTTCTCTAAGTGCAAGTTTTGGTTGTCTGAAGTAGCATTTCTGGGTCACGTGGTGTCAAGCAAGGGGTGTTAGGATCGCACAACAACGCACACACTCGATCTAGATGAACACAAAGAAAAGGATAGAGAAAATTGCAAGGATAACTCTGGCTAAAAGGATTTTTTTATTTGATGATTTCAGGTATGTACAACAAGAGAGAGTACAGAGAATAGAATCATCTTCAAAGCTTTACTGGACGGGATAGATATATGGTTCAATCTACTAAATATAGCTTTACCAGATTTAACCATCTACTATATATAGCTATTTACCATATATAGCTTTACCGGATATAGCTTTACCATATATGGCTTTACCAAATATAGCTTTTCCGAATATAGCCGTTGACTAAGCTATAAATACAGGGAGCAGACTCCATAACTCAACAATTCCCCCAC